AGAACTTCAATTATTTTTAGTACAATTTTAATCAAATTCCTTAGAAAATGTAATTATTGTTAAAAATTTTCTTAAAATTCGTCGAAAGAATTCAATTATTTAAAAAATTTGTTTAATAAAATTTTGTAGGTATAAGAAATCTGAATTTTTATACTTTTAACTAATATAAAGTAATTTAAAAATTAATTTCAGTTTAAATGTTTCACATAATAACTGAATTTTGGGGAATTTACTAATAATTGCAATTTTTAGAAATAATCGAACCAAATTTTTCATATTAAATTTTTTATTTTTAAAATTTCAAATTAAAATCTTTGAAAATCTGGATTTTTCATACTTTTAATTAAAAATTCTTCGGAACTAATTTTCTTCAAAATGATTAATCAAAATTTGTCAAAATTATTTCAAGTTTATATTTTCTAACTTATATTTAAATGAAGAAGTTTCGAATAATCGAAATTTCACGTAAAATTGAATTGTAAACAAATAGATTTGAAAAATTCTCATGAAGAACTATTTCCAAAAATTATTAAAAATAATTGATTTAAAGAAGAATTTTATTTTCAAAATTATAGAAAATAATAATTGAATTGAAATGATGAAAATAATTTTGAACTTGAATAATTTTACAATTAAGGAAATTTGTAAATAATTGTAATAGAACATTTTTTTTTAGTATCTTATCATTTTTAGAGTGAATCAGAATATTTTTTTTTAAGGGTTTAAGAATTGAAGAATTATTTAAGGGTCAGGAAAAAAGTTGAAATTTTGTCTGAAAATCAGGGAAAAAGAAAATTAAATGTTTCTGGCAACCCTGACATAAAAAAAAAATTAAAAAAAAAAAAACACTTTCTGTTTTGATCTAGAAAACAATTTTTCCCCCTCACGATAAATAATTTATCCTCCACTTTTCCTGCCATGTGTACATCTATTAGTAATTTCTTCAGAATTGCCAATTATTCAGTTAAAGGCAAAGTCGAGAGAGGCGGAATCTTCTTCTACTGCTTCGGAATAATTTTCTCATTCTGAAGGCGCAGTCAATTGAAAAAAAGAGACAGAGGGAGGAAAGGAGAAAAAACAATTCTCAATGAGCCGGGTGTGCTCGCTTTGAGTTACGTCAAGAGAGTAAAGAGTAAATGGCCTACGACACGGGAAGTTTATGCACCCCTGGTGTGTGTCTATGGCAGAGAGAAAGAGAGAGAGAGAGAGAGGGAAAGATAAAAAAAGGGACAGAGAGAAGAAAGGGAGAGAGAAAAAAAGGAAAATGAGAAAAGAGAGAGAGAGAGAGAAAAAGAAGAAAGAGAAAAAAAGAATAGAGAGAAGAAGGAGAAAGAGAAAAAAAAGGGACAGAGAGAAGAAAAAGGAGAGAGAAAGAGAAAAGAGGAGAAAAAGAAAAAGAGAGAGAAAGAAAAGAGGACAGAAAGAAAAAGATAGAGAGAAAGGGACAGAGAGAAGAAGGAGAGAGAGAAAGAAAAGAGGACAGAAAGAAAAAGAGAGAGAAAGGGACAGGGAGAAGAAGGAGAGAGAGAGAGAGAAAAAAAAGGGACAGGAAGAAAAAAGAATAGAGAGAAGAAGGAGAACGAGAGAAAAAAGGGACAAAAAGAGAGGGAAACTAAAACTCGCGCATTGCCACGAAACGAGCAATGTAACATAACTAACAAGGAAGAAATAACTGGAAACTAACGTTTGAAAAAGAATGAGAGAGTGAGAGAGAGAGAGGGGGGGGGGGATGGGTGAAAAACATAAAAGAGGGATAGAGGCGAAAGTGGAGGTCGCTTCGTGGCGGTCCTCCTCACTCTTTTTGGATTACAGGTTCGGAACTATTGGTGAGCTTAGTTCGCGGTTGGTTGCATTTACGAGTTACTCCCAGCATTTGCGTATTTCACGGAGGCCGTTATGACTATGCAACTGCACCAACCAGAAAGAGAGAGAGAAAGAGAGAAGATTCTTATCTCCTCTCAAGAATCTACGGATATTCTTAGAGAGAAAGAGAAAAAGATTTCACGAGCGCAAATATCTTAAAACCAAGAATTAATCTCGTTGAATAATATTTATACTTGTCTTCGTGTGTAATATATGCGCGTTAGTATTAGTCATATTATTGAAAAATGTGAATAACTAATATTTTTCCAAACTCTTGGGGAAATATGTATTTTTTACTTGTCCTCTAAATCGTTTTCTAAATTCTGAAATCCATAAACAAATCATTCCGCAAAATAGTTTGTGAAATAAAATTATAAAACTATTCTGTAAAATATTCTTTAAAATATTCTATAAAATACATGTCAAAAGAAAAGATTGGTAGTGCTCAAGATATTTTTTAAATATTCTCTATTTTACTAAATATTTGAAATTTTTTACAAAATATTTCACAAAATATTTTACTAGATATTTGATAAAATATTTGGCAAAATTTTTTACTAAATATTTGACAAAATATTTCACTAGATATTTGACAAAATATTTTACTAGATATTTAACAAAATATTTTACCTAATATTTGACAAAATATTCTACTAAATTGTTTGACAAAATATTTAACAAAATATTCTATAAATTTTGGTAATTGCTAAAGTGAAAAATCAGACGACATTTCACTAAAAATTAGTTATTTTTGACTAATTCAGATTTAGAGACTATATTGAAAATTTACCAAATGAATTGAAAACTTACTAAACAAATTAAAAATTTACCAAGAAATTGAAAATTTATCAAACGAATTAAAAATTTACTAAATTACTTAAAATTTTACTACATAAATTTAAAATTTTCTAAATAAATTTAAAATATGCTTCACAAATTTTATATTTATTAGGTAAACTACAAATTTATTGAAAAAATTGGATATTTTCAAAATAAATTTAATATTTACCGAAAAAGTTATAATTTACTAAATAAAACCAAAAGTTTTCACTTATTTAGTAATTTCTCAATTTATTTAGTAAACTTTTCATTTATAAAGTAAATTTTGAATTTATTTGGTAAATTTTCAGTAAACTCACTATTTTTTAGTTTTATTCCATAAATTACCATTTCTTTTAGTAAATTTTAAAATTATTTAAAAAATTTTTAAATTCTTTAATAAATTTTCATTTTACACAAAAATATATCATTTTTGCAGTAAACTTTCTATTTCCTTAGTTAATTTTCAATTTATTTGATAAATTTCCAGTACATTTAGTAACTTTTACTTTTATTTAGTAAATTATCATTTTTTTTTTATCAAATATTATACTTGTTTCGAAAATTGAAATATTCAAAATTTTTGCTAATTTATTTGGAAGTAAATTGAAAATTTACTAAATAAGTTGAAAGTTTCCTGCATTTTTATATTTAGTATCGTAGACTGACAATTTACTGAAAAGGTTCAAAATTTCCTAAATAAATTAAATATTTACTAAAAAAGTTTATGATATTAATAAAAATTAAAAATTTATTTATGAAATAAATAAAAAGTTTACTAAAAAAAAAAAAATTGAAAAAATACTAAATAAATTGAAATTTAAATTAAAATTTTCAGCATACATTTAATTTTTATTCTGTAAACTGAAAATTTACTATATAAATTAAAAATTTACTAAATAACAATCTATCAAATTTATTCCCATAAGAAAAATAACCTGAAGAAATGAATAAAAAATAAAAGGTCCAAACGAGATTGAAAAAAATAGATTGTAAAGTGCAACTATAAATTTTCTTTTCTATTATTATTAAAATAAACACATATTTGGCTCGCAGACATAAATTTTCTATCCATAAAAGGGGGAAGAAAATTTCACAATATATAATAAGAAAATCCAAGCAGGGAAGAGGAAGAGGTGTCACTTTTGAATGGATCGCAGAAAGTTAAGGGATGCTGATGTTTTTTGATGAAAACGTGACTATACATTCCATTAAAGCGACTAGACTTTTCTCTTTGTATCTAGACTTTGCCCAAGGGGTATGGAATATTCTTCCATTAAAATTATTTTCAAGCCCGTCAACGTTGAGATTAAGTTTGCCACGAACAGGGGAATTAATCAAGTGTCTTTTATATATAAAATACTTTTTTTTTATCCTTTCTACCAATTCGTAAGAAAATTTATTCGCGGTCCTTAGGGGACAGTGAGGATTGTATAAATAAATATCAAAAATATATAATAATATAATTGAAAAATAAATTTAAAGCTATGAAGAAATGTGGGACTAACTCTTTTAGTGAAAAATTCTGGGAAAATTCAAAAAATAATAATATAATAATAAAAATAAAATATTATTATTATTAAAATTACTATTATTATTTAGTATAGTAAAGAAAAGTGGGGGACGAAGGAATTTATTGATGATTAATTCTATAAATAGCTTTAAATACGAAAAAAGGAGAAACTATTTTATAAATTATTTGGAAAAAAAGCAAAAGTGCATTTTTTACACTCTCATTTCTTGGCGAAATGATAGGAAATTTATTGCCATTGACCTGTCCCAGGAGGATATAAGGTCAGTTGGGACTCGCATTGTTACGGGGAATCGGAAACATGGGATTATATCTCGATGAACAAGTGCGTTGCTTTCGCCTTTACGAATATATATTTATATATATAGAATGTACATTGCGTACTTACACGCTCAGTATCAACGCACATGACTCTCATATCGCGGATAGATCACTGTGAGTATTAAACTTCTGTGAGTCTGTTTACATCGCGCCTCTATGGTCGAGAATAATAATAATAATAACAGCCCAAGTATAGGCTTAAATTAAATCTCCAGATGCTATTTTGTATTTTTTCACTATTATTCTTTTTTTAAGTAAAATTTTTTAGTTCAATTAAAATTTTGACATTTATGGCTAAATTCTAACTAAATTCTTTGGACAAAGAATAATGGATAATTTAATTTATTTATTTTTATTTTCACAAGTTTCCAAAAAAAAATAAAAAAAGGCATTTTGATTATGTTTAAATTTTAATGACATAAAGTGGGAAAAAAAAGAAACAAGAAGTGAGAATTTTGTATATTACCGCGGCGAAAAAGTAATGTCCGGGAATATTCAGAGTTGCTGAAGAAATACGTACCTGTAACAAAAAATAGAAATTTGTTAAAAAATTATTTCTTTATTTGGTAAATTTGAATAATCGACATTCAAAAACTCACTCATGCGATTTTTACTTCCCATTAAGTTTTAATTAAGAAATTAGAATAGTGGGCATTTAAGAAATAAATGTGAATATTTAATATTTAAATGCAAAAATAAATGTAAATAAATAAAATATAAATAAAAAATAAAATAGAAATAAAAAATAAAATAGAAATAAGGAATAAAATAGAAATAAAAAATTAAAAAGAAATAAAAAATAAAAATATTAAAAATTTTAATTTAGAATAAAATTTAAATGGTAAAGAGAGGAAAATATCTGTTTTTTTTTGACGCAATTGAAGATGATGAAAATTGAAGCGATTGAAAGTAGATTCCCAGGAGTGGATTCGACGACGACGACGACAACGACGTCAGTTTATAAGTTATACGGGGAGGCAATTGGAAAAAGCAAAAAAAAAAAGAAAAAACAAAAAAAAGAAGAAAAAAAGAAAGAAATACATGGAGTTGTGCTACTGCGATGGTAAGAGGACTGAATCACAAGCGATTTAAGCGACAAAGAGATAAAGAGATCGTAAGACCTGGCATGGCGCGGCGCTGTGCAGCTGCAACGCCTTGTACCTAAGTATCTTTGAGAGTTGCTGCTTCGCATGGCAGGAAAAGAAAACCTTCCAAGTGATGCATGAAACTGGTCGAGACACACTGCAAACGAACGCCCCATATGACGCGAAAAGAAAAATAAAAACAATCAAAAAAAAAAAAAAAAATGTTTTCTTTTTCACTAAGTTTTTCGTTATTTTTACGATTTTCGGAAAAATTAATTTGGTAGAATATACTTAATTTTTTTTGGTGATTTTTTTAATTAGCTTTTAGAGCAGAGTTAATTTTATAATTTGTGCGAAAATATTCTGAAAATGTTTGACGAAATATTTTCAAAGTATTTGACGAAATATTCGGAAAGTGTTTGACGAAATATTCCAAAAATATTCTGAAAATATGTCAGGAAATAATTCCAGAAATATTTTCCAAAATTGTAAAATATTCCTTCAAAGATTCGACGTTCCGAAAAATATTTAAAGACACATTCCATAAAATAATTTGTAAATATTCTAAAAATATTTGACCAAACAGACATTTGACATTTGACATTCCCAGACTATTCTCAAAAATATTCTAAAATATTCCACCAAGCATTCGACAAAATATTTGATAGAATATTCGACAAAATATTCAATAAAATATTCTGAATATATTACACAAAATATTCGGGAACTATTCCAAAAATATTCTAAAAATATTCCCCCAAATATTCCATAGAATATTTGGCAAAATATTCCATAGATTATTTGGCAAAATATTCCATAGAATATATGACAAAATATTCAATAAAACTATTCCAAAAATATTCCATAGATTATTTGGCAAAATATTGCATAAAATTTAACAAAAATATTCCATGAACTATTGCAAAAAATATTTCCAAATAATTTTCAAAAATATTCCACAAAATATTTCATGAAATATCTCATAAAATATTCCACAAAATATTATCTAAAATATTTCTCAAGATATTCCAAAAAATACATTCCCAAAAAATAAACAAACACTAAGAAATATCCTTGATTAAAATGTTAACTATCATTGTATTACTTAATTTTTTTAATTAAAAACTTTGTGTAATTAATTAATAATCCTCCCGGGATTTTGATTATAATACACACACACATATATATATACACTCTCGAGGGAGATCAAACAAGGAAACTGAATATCTTTACAGACCTGTAGCTATAGGTATACACAATATATGAGAACATCATATACTCGAGAAAACCCACAGAAATTGCATTATTGGCATCAGAAGTTAAAGTTTCCTGGCGCGAAATTCGTCGTACATGTATATATGTATACAGAAAGAGAGAGAGAGAGAGAGAGATGGCACGTTAAGAAATCGTTGGCCGCGAAACGAAATCGCAAAGCCGAAATTGAAGTAAAAATCGATTTTCCACGGGGTATCCAATTTCAACTTTTATAGAGTCAAGGTAACGCTTTGAAGGCAAGAGTTAATGGAAGTGACGCAAAAGTTTCTTTCCACTTTAACCACTTTTCATCGGGAACCATCTCGACCTTTATTTCGGCGTCCGCAAAACGAATTTTTGTTGATCTTGCAAATTTGCCGCGAAGATAAGAAATTTAGATGAATTTTGGAAAATCGCTTTTTTTCATAGTTTTAATTTATTTTTCACTTCTGCTTTTTGTTGTAATTATTTTTTTTTCTCTGAATTTAATAATTATTACCTATTTATTTCTGTATTTTTTAGTCTTTAGCTATTTATTTCTGTATTTTTTAGTCTTTACCTATTTATTTCTGTACTTTTTAGTATTTTCTTATGCATTTCTTTAATTTTTTAAATTTTATTTATTTTTCTATTTCTATATTTATTTACCTAATTGATTATTTATTTACTTGTATATTTACCTACTCGTTTATTTATTTGCATTTTTATTGTTTTATTTTATTTTTTATTTATTAATTTCTGTATTTATTTATTAGTCTATTTACTTAATTATTTATTTACCTAATACTTTTTTTATGTATTTATTTATTCGTCTATTTACTTATTTATTTATTCATTGATTTATTCAATTATTTATTTATTATTTGTTAGTGTATTAGTTAATTTATTAATTTGTTTATTTATTTCTGAATTCTCTTTCTTTTTTTTTTTAAACGAAAATTTGAAAAAAAAAATTGAACAAGAAAAATAAGAGGGAGAGAGAGAGAGAGAGTAAAATGTGCAAAAAATCGAAAAAGAGAAATAAAAAAAAGAAAAATTAAGAAAAAAAATTGCGAAAGAGAAATAGAAGAGAGAAATGATTGCAAAAAATCGAAAAAGAGAAATAGAAGAAATTAAATTTTAAAAAAATAGAAGAAAGAAAAATTAAGAAAAAAATTGCAAAGAAAAATAGAAGAAAGAAAATCCCCCGAAAAAAAGAAAGAGAAGGGAGAGAAATTCAGAAAAAAAATTGCAAAAGAAAAAAGGAAGAAGAGAAAAATTTGCAAAAAGGAAAATTTGCATATAGGAGTTAATCGGGAATTCACGGTGCAAATCTGGAGAAAAGAAAATACACGTTGAAGTGAGAACTGTCTTAAAGTGTCGTTAGGAAGTCATCCATTATTCTTCAAAGGCCATACATAGTCGAAAGTCCATGCCGCGAATCTTCGAACGAAACTTTCGCGAACACGCCTCACCTTTTCTCCTTCTCTCCTTTTTCTTTGCCCCCTTTTTCTCTCTCTCTCTCTCTAACTTCTCTATTTTCCTATACTTTTCGTCTTATTTTCCTTTTTCCTCCCTTTTTCTTCGTCGTCATTCTCCTTTTCTCTTTTCGTTTCGAGCTTAAACAGTCCGAATTTCTAGGAAATACTGTCGATTTAAGAGTACTTTGAGAAAACTTTTCCGTACCCTGGAATATAAATATACATTGCTCTAATTTCCATACTTTTAATATTTTCGCATATTATTTACATAAAATAGTGTAATAAAGTTTTACAAGAAAATATAATGTCGAGTAGTTTTATTAAATAGTTTTGTAAAATTGTAAATTTTGCAAAAAGTAATTTTAAATTATAAAGTTAGGAGAGAATTTTTTCTAATTTAATAAAATGGAACATCTGAATTAATTAAATGGAATTTTTTAATAAATAAAAGTTTTTATTTAAAAAATAAAATATTTCATGTAATAAATAAAATATTTCATGTAATAAATAAAATTTTTCATTTCATAAATAAAATATTTCATGTAATAAATAAAATATTAAATTGAAAAAAAATTAGAAAATATACACTGAGAAAATAATATATATTTAAATCAAAACATAATTATCTTTGTTATACAGTCAATCAAAAATTATTATTCAAGATTGCCACAGGTCAGGGAAGTCAGGAAAATCAGGGAAAAGTCAGGGATTTTTATTAAAAATACTGGGAAAAATTAAATTTTTAAGAATTTATAAGAAAATTCTGAATATTTGGTATCTTTTTTGTTTGTCTTATAAACTATGAATTCTAATGCAAAACCTTCAAAAAATTTTTCTATTTCTGACCAGAATGAATTTTTTAATATTATTTAATTATTTTAAAAGTTTTAACGCAATTATCTTGATAAATAATAAAATTCTTCACAAAAATTCAATTATTTTTAGGAATTTTGAAAAAATTCTTTGCTAAATTTAATTATTTTCAAAAATAACAATATTCATCACAAGAATTCAATTATTTTCAAAAGTAATAAAATTCTTCGAAGAAATTCAATTATTTTTACAAATTTTAACGAATATCTCGTCAAGAATTCAATTATCTTTATAAATAGTAAAATTTTTCGCCATAAATTCAATTATTTTTTAAAAATTTAAATAAAATTCTTTGCAAAATTTCAATTATTTTCAAAAGTTTTTCGCAATTTAATGTTTTTTTTTAAATATTTTTTATTATTATCATCGTAGAATTTCAAATATTTTTCATAAAATTTTAAATAAATTCCTCGGAAAATGCAATTATTCAATAAAATAATAAAATTCGTTGCAATAATTCAATTATTTTCATAAATAACTTTTAATTCGTCGCAGAAAATCAATTATTTCCAAAAAAAATTTAAGTAATTCTGTGCAAAAGAATTCAATTATCTTGATAAACAACAAAATTTTCTTTATAATAAAATCAATTATTTTAAGAAATTTAGATAAAATTCTTTTTCAAAATTCAATTATTTTGATAAATATCAAAATTTATCGCCAGTATTCAATTTTTTTTTAAAGTTATAAAATAGGTACTTTGTAGAAATTAAATTATTTTCAAAATTGTTTTTTAAAATTCTCGTTAAGATTTTAATTATATTTATAAAATAGGTGGCGAAAATCTTCTCAAGAACTGAATTATTGGCAAAAATTTTAATAAAATTCTTAGCAAAATTCCAATTATT